CTTTCCTTTCCTTTCTTTCTTTCTTTCTTTCTTTCTTTCTTTCTTTCTTTCTTTCTTTCTTTCTTTCTTTCTTTCTTTCTTCTCTCTCTATTTCTTTCTTTCTCTCTATTTCTTTCTTTCTCTCTTTTGCTCTTTCCCTCTTTCTCTCTCTTTTCTTCCTTCTTCCTTCTTCCTTCTTCCTTCTTCCTTCTTCCTTCTTCCTTTTTTTTCTCTCTTCCTTTCATCCTATATTACATAGATACATAGATATATGTATATTAATAAACCCCTTTGTAATGCTAATAAAAATTAAACTCAACACTGATCTTTAATGTCATAAGCTGAATTAAACTAGTACCTTCCAACAGTGCTAAAACTTCATTATGTGGTTCTAAAGTGAAGAATCAAGTACTGCACCAGCAACTCTTAACTAATGACTAATTTAGCTGTTTTCTTGGAGTTTCCTTAAGGAAATCAGGAACACCCATGACAGGAGGTGATCTGACAGAGCCATAAACTGTGGCAGCATGTTGAGCTCAGCAGCCCATATCAAGGCAGACATTTAAATCAGCACCAATTTTTGCCAGAAAAAGTAAATTAATTAGTTATTAAATAAAACTTCACACAGAGTTCTGAAAATAATTAATAGAAAGAAATAAAAATGTTAAAATGTATGATTTTTAAAATGCATTCTTCCATAAAAATGCTTGAATCAATAGTTCACATTTTGGGCTTGGGGAGATAAATCCAGGCACAAACTTCTGCCCTGGTCTATTTGTGAAGCTGTGATCCACTGAATGACATAATTTAACCAGAAATTCTCTTTTTTATAGAGGACCTAGGATGGTGTAAGTGTGAGCTCAGCTCTAGCAAAACCCATGGCTGTGTTTCTTAGGGACCAAAAATCAGTGCTCCTTGCTAGAGGTGAAATTCTGATTTACACCAGCTACAAACCTGCCTTGTTTCCTACCACCTCAGTTTCTGTTTGGGCTATCCTTCATGCACATGTGGAAACAGGAAACAGAAGAGATGAATTCAGGAAAAACAGAAAGTTCCTGATAGTGTTTGGTGGGAGGGCACTGCAGCAGGTATAAAAAAGGTTTATTTCAAATGGATGACTGATTTTGGATGTCTCATTCTCCTTGGACCAGAGTCTGAAACATCTTTCAGAGGCAAATTAAAAGCATTAACCATTTGGAATGCAGTATTCCTTAAAGTGATTAACACTACTGTTATTATACTAGAATAATAAACTTTTTTTTAAATAAATGATTTTCCAGTATTTTCTTTTTGAGTAATAAAACAAGAAAAAAGTTCTTTGTTTTCACAGAGGGAAAAGTAGATCTGCTCCCAGAAGAAAAGTCTGTAGAAATGCAAATGAAGTTCCATTAGTTCTTTCTCCAGTGTTCTAATTATGAAGAAAAAAGGGTTTCAACAATACAGAGACAAGTTAAGTTCCCTAGAGGAGTCGAAGCAAACAACATTGCCAAATGCAATTAACCACTTTGTCATTAACTCATTATGAGGTTTCTGAGGTCAGGCAATGACTTCATCCTGAGATGACTTTCATTGCCTTCCTCTTTTACAAGCAAACTAAATAAAAAAAAGAACATTATACTCAATTTTACTGCCCTTTACTGTCTTTATGGCCAGGTGACTAATTCAGGTGAAACACAGAGACTGCAAAGGTCAGCATGGCCACATTGGTAATGAGGATTTCTTCTGCTTGACCTCAATATAGAAAGTACAGTTTGAATGTTGCAGGCTCTGGCCCAGGCTATTCACCAAGCCAGAGCACATGTTCTATCCAGAACAAACTGCAAAACCCTCCAAAATAAATATTCCTAGGTTGTAGCAGCCCTTTGCTCTGTGTGCCCTTGCAGATACCAGCTAATCCTCTGGAAACTCTTCATTCCTGGATGAATTTCTCCAGCTGGGACTTGCAGAATGCTCTTATCCCATGCCTCAGACTCCCCAGCGCTTGCAGGGTGTGGGCACTGCACTGCATTAAATGCTGAGTTCTTGCTGGGAGTAAGGAATGACCATTAATTAATCTTCCTTTCCTTTCCCCACACCTCAAACAGAGGACTCTGAAAGAAGTGAACTGATTTCCTTATCACTTTCATTCAGCGAGCCTCTTTTCTGCTGGAAGAAATGGAAAACATATAACAAGGATAAAAAAAAGCGGAACAAAACACACAGTCCCTATCAATTACTGTATGCTTAGCCTGGAAAGTTCACTGTGAAAGAATATTTCTTCAGTGAGAGGGTGAGGTGAGCTCCTGCAATGGAAATGTCTAAAATATATATACAATATATATACCAGACATTTTAGAAGAAATGTCTGGTATATATATTGTACTCCTAAGGAAGAAATGGAGATAGAAGTTCTAAATAATTTGCTTCTGAAGGAAAGAATAAAGACAACATATTTAACAGTGGGAAACAGATCTTTGTGCCTGTATTTTCCCCTGAGCTAGTAAACCATTAGAACTCACAAAAAAAAAATGGAAATAATGTTTTTAATCCACACATTCATGGACAAGAAAATCTTTATTTCTTCATCAAAACAGCCATCACTCTAATTAGTACTTCCTTCACTTCTTTATTCCTCAGGCTGTAAATCAGGGGGTTCAAAGTGGGAATTACAGTTGTGTATATGAGAGCAAGGATTTTCTTAGTGTCTTGTGAACTACAGGATTTTGGTAAGTAAATCAAAGTCCCACTTGCACAGTACAGCGTTACCACAGTAAGGTGTGAGGAACAGGTGGAGAAGGTCCTGTGCCTGCTCTCTGCAGAGGAAATCCTCAGGATGCTGGAGATGATGCAGGTGTAGGACAGCAGGATGAGGCAGAAGGGTGCGAGGATGACGAGCACCGTGGCCGAGAGGAGCTGGCGCTCGTAGCGCGACGTGTCCGCGCAGGAGAGCAGCAGCAGCGGGGGGATGTCACAGAAGAAGTAGTTGATCCTCCTGGGCCCACACAAGGACAGGCTGAACACCCAGGCTGTCTGCACCACCGACACAACCTTGCCACTGCAGCAGGAGAGCAGCAGCAGGGAGAGGCAAGCCCGGCGGCTCATGATGGCCGGGTAGCGCAGTGGGCGGCACACGGCCACGTAGCGGTCGTAGGCCATGGCTGCCAGCAGGAACCACTCCGTGGCCCCCAGGAAAACCACGCAGTAGAGTTGTGTGACACAGCCCAGGTAGGAGATGCTCCTGTCCTCGGACAGGATGTTTACCAGCATCTTGGGGACAACTACTGATGCTGTGGAAATATCCAGGAAGGACAGGACGCGGAGGAAGAAGTACATGGGCGTGTGGAGGGTGGGGTGCACTGTGACCATGCAGATGAGAAGGTTCCCGATGAGGGTCATGCTGTAAATTAAGCAGATTGTGAAGAACAGCAAGTGCTGGAGTTCTGGGTGGCTGGACAATCCAGAGAGGACGAATTCAGTCAGCAGGGTGTGGTTTCCTGCATCTTGTTCCTGTGCTGGCTCCATCTGGGAGGAAACAGAAACTGTCAGAGCTGTAGTCACTGTGCCAAGGTCACAGGGCTTCAGCCAGTTATTCAAACCAGGAGTCTCTTGGGAATGCCTACAGAGCTGCTGGGTCAAAGGGGATGAGTCTGGAGCAGGCTGGGCTGAGCACACTGAGAAGGCAGTGCCAGCACCCTCCAATGTCATTGCTCGGTGGTGTCACCAAGCCTTGACCAAGAGGAGCTGGCACTGAAGGGGCGGCTCCATCATGGGTGCAGGGTTACCTGCTGAAGATATGCTCTCCCCCCAGGTGTCAGGTCTGTGGTCTCAGCTGGTTCTACAGTTGCTTCCTGCAGTCAGGGGAATGTCCAAGTGACAAATGAGACACCCACAGACCAAAGCAAGAAAGAAAAACCCTTGTGCTACCTTAGGGAGCAGTGGGCATTGCTCCTTGCACTCTGTTTTTCCTCCTGAGTGGGCTGACAGGGCAGGCAGCCTTCCTCCAAGACATCTGAAGTTCAGAGCAACTCAACTTCAGATGACAGCCAAGGAAGTTCAGGCTGTGGGAGGCTTTGGCTCATATTCACATCAATCCCCAGCTGTCAAGGGGACAGAAATACATCCCAGAGCCCAAGTTTGGAGAAAGCACTCCCAAATGGAGCAAGCAGAACCTGTGAAGGAAAAACCTAAGCCAACTGCTGTCCACCAAAACTCCCATGGACCAAAGAAATCAGCACCAAAGTAAACCCAACAAAAAATCCTGTCTGTAGGAAGGTAAAGGAAGAAGGAATAATTCGAGGCAGAGGTACCCATAGGGAATGATGAGGAAGTGCAGAGGGTGAAGCCCAGGACCATCTGTTCATGACTCACATGGCCTTGCTCCCCTGAGGAGGGCTGCTGTGTGTGGGATGTTCACAAAGTGCTGGACCAGCTCTGCCCTGGATGGGAAACTGAGGCACTGAAAGAGAAGAGCCAGAGAGGAGAAAAGGGTGGTTAATTCTGTGTCCTTCAGACTCAGCATCTCTTACCAAAGGGGCCACCAGCCACTGCCCTACAGGAGCAAATCTCAAGGCACAAAATGCATTTTGGCATCAGAAATGTATCCATGAACAGAGGGGAAGAACTTTGGCTCTGTACACACAAGGAGCACGTCAGCAGAGCTGGCACACAGAGAAGGACACAGCCCAAAGCCAGAGCAGTCACCCAGCTCTGCCACCACCAGCCACCCTCGGGCTGCCCCTGGCACAGCACATCTTCTGTCTCTGGGTTTTATGACACGAACACAGAGTGGAAGCTGTGCATCCCAGAGCCACAGATGACTTTAACACACAAGCACAGTAAGGAAACTCTCAATATTCTCAGACATTTGGTGCTCTGGTGTATTTAAGGGGGATCTTTCTGGGTTTGACTGTTTCCAATAACATAGGAATGAAAGGACACTTTTGAGTGGTAGCTCAATACAGCCTGTGCATGACAGATAATGACATGAAAAACTCCCTGCAGTCTCTAACAGCACACATTCCCACTGATTTTAACTTGTTTAGAACCATGTAGCTGAAGTGGAAACGACCTAATTCTGCCCTCCAAGTCCATATGAAAGCTTTAGACTATTGCTGTGATCATTAGCTCTCTATTAAAGTCAACAGCACTCACAGCAGCCACTGTTTTACTGACAGTTCATCTTCTAATTCAAAACACCTCTCAAAAACAACCCTCAATTTATGTAATTCGTGTGTACTTAAAGGGCTCTGCCCTTTAAGTAAGTTTTGGCCTTAGCTCTTCCTTGGATTTTCTTTATACATTCACAATAACCATTTTGAAGAAAAGTGTCCTACCTCCAGCAATTCTGCCATCCAGTGCCTCCAAAATGGGTCATTCAAATTTTGATAGAAGTATTTTCCTTGTTTTCTTACATTAGGAATGGTGTTGGACTGGTGATTCCTACTGTCAGCTTACACTGCAGATTAAAAATTATATTTTAAAAGCAGATGATCTTCTGGCACAGCTGCAATAATCTGTTGACATTAGCACATGGCAAATACCATAAAAAGGCAGCCAAGGACTTGTCTCATATAGAGGAAGAAAAGGAATTTGTTAGATTTGTTTCAACTCAGTTGAAAGCTGAAAATGTAGAGCTGCAGCCCAGGCTGCAGCTGAAAACGTAGAGCCTCAATGCATCTCTATTTTTTGCCCATGAAGGGAACAGCTGAGCTGCCTCTGACACCTGCCTTAAGTAGATTCTCTTGAAATCCCTAAATCCCCTGGAGGTGGGATTGATTTAATCTGATTTCAGAGCTGTCAGGAATGGTTGTTCAGAGCTGTGCTCCCTCTGTGGGCAAGGGGATGTAGCAAACAACGACATCCTCATACCAGCACTGAAATGCTGCATGGAGCCCCCCCTCACTGTCTGCAAAGTGGGAGCAGAGGGACTCCTCCAGGCACAGGCATCTCATCCCCTACATGCCACAGGCTGTGAACTCTGCATCCTCACCAGCAGGGGACTGACTGTGAACCTGAAAGGTCTGAGCAGCAGCTGGAAACATCAAGGGATGTGTGACTCCATGGGCAGAATTAGCCTGACACTGCCTTTGTTTAATTGGACTGGTGCCTTTAGGGGCAGTGCTGTCTCTGGTAGGAGAGATTTCATTCAGCTCCACCACTCACATTTCATTCTTCAATTTGTAGTGACTACTTGTCAACTGTGAATGCTTTCCTTTCCTTTCCTTTCCTTTCCTTT